AAAAGAAAAACGGCCGATGGTGGAACCGGGATATAAATATACATGTTTCTGCCAAGATGTAAAGTATACTGCGCAGTGGTTTATACCTCCGAAGATGCTCGAATCTCATATGCTGCAGCTAGCGGCGACATATCTTCGGGATGTCGTATCTTACGTCAAATTATTTGAGCCTCCAATATGACCACGAAAGATCCAATCGTGTCTTCCAAGCAAAGATCGTAGTTCCATCAACTTCTGAACCTGGTCTAGCTTCGAAAACTTTTGTCTGGTCTCACTAACGTTCAAATCCCGGGCTAGACTTCCCGAGAAAAGATGATTGTTTATTCTAAACACCCGAACGCTCGGAGACATTATAGACCACATCGATCGCAACTTGCAGAATGAACAGCCGACGGACTTTCAGTTCCCCCGCTGGAGATGTTTTCGGAGACTTTCGAAGGTTCGCTTCGTTGGTTCAGGTGGATAGCGCTCTGCAGAAATTTGCAGTATCGAGTCTAGTGCGTACCCAGAAGGGCGGGTATATCCACTTTTCCGTGGATCAGAGTCCACGGGCTAACGTTCCTTCATCTCAACGTGCCCCGTATCCACTAGACATGAAGGATGGCATGGGTAAATAGTACGTATGCTAAATTAGGGCTGTCGGCTTTTGCTCGCCAAGAACAATGTGGAATTCAACGGTTATCCAGGTTATGGAGCTCGATGAGTCGGTGTACATAAGGTGTTCAGACCCGAACTATAGCTGGTAGGTTTATTCTTGCTTTCATTTTTATATCAGCTTTAATAGATACCTGTTTCTCAACAATAACCATATCATAATATTAACAAAATGAACGTCACATTCGATGTCTTCCGTGGCTCCCCTGAGGGCAAGATTGTTGCCGATAAGACGACACGCACACTAGAATACAACGAAGTGTTTATTGAGACAACACACTCCGGCCTTTGTGGGACAGATGAACACTACCTGAAATCAGGCCAGGTGCTTGGACACGAGGGTATCGGTATCATCAAGGCTCTCGGACCCGGTGTTACCTCGGTGAAGGTGGGAGACCGTGTTGGATTTGGATACACACATAGCATTTGCACATCTTGTGATAACTGTGAGACTGGTAAGTGGTTCTTCAACCCTATCCGGGTTAACCGTCTAATACAATCTAGGCTGGGACCAATTCTGCCGCAACCAGAAGCAATACGGCTTCCACGACTTTGACAATGGCACCTTCAGCTACGGAGCCGTCTGGGACGTCAACTGCGTCTACCCCATCCCAGAGACAGTCAGCTCGGTCGATGCCGCCCCTCTTATGTGTGCCGGTGCAACGGTTTGGGCTGTCCTCACTGAGTTTGGCATCCGCTCGACCGACCGCGTCGCTATAATGGGCATTGGTGGCCTCGGCCATATTGCTATCAAGCTTGCTGTCGCATTGGGCTGCGAGGTTGTCGTTCTTTCTAGCTCTGAAGCTAAGAGAGCAGAGGCTATGGAGTATGGTGCCTCTGAGTATCATGTTTTCCGTTCCGGGGAGCCTATCAAGGATTTCAGGCCTGTTAAGCATCTGTTGCTGTGTGGAAGTGGCTCCGTTAGCTATCCTTCGTAAGTTACCTTTCCAAGGCTTATCTCAGATAGGGTCTATCTAGTTTTTGGACCTGTCTATATCTGTTTCCGGGGATTTGCTAACTCAGAGCAGTCTCATGCCTCTCATGGACACCAACGGCAGCATCTACCCATTGACGGTCGCATTTGAGCCCTCTCCTGTCCCCATGCTGGATGTCCTCTTCAAGGGTGTCCGTATCCAGGGATCCCTGGTTGCTTCTCGGAAGGGCATTCGTACTCTTCTAGAGTTTGTGGCTAGACATAAGATCGCGCCTACGGTGATGACGTTCCCGTTGACCGTGGCGGGTATTGAGGAGGCCATGCAGACTCTTAGAGATGGCAAGATGAGATACAGAGGAGTGCTCGTGAAGGGGGAATAGATTACCAGGATACCCAGAATGTGCTGTGCATGATAGCAGTGTAATTGAAAGAGGAAACAATAAATATACCACTCGCTCCACGAATATATAGTTCAGGACGCACCGATTAATCCAGACGCTGTATAGAGGCAGTAAAGCAACCACTTCCCGTATTGCAATACCTATTCATATGTATTTATCCTCTACTATTATAACGTAGCTACTAGTCTGAGTCAACCTTCGAAATGTCCGGTTCTCATTCCGATTAAGATATGTTAGTGTCAAGCTATACTTTCTTGCGTCTGATTGTCTTTGCATCAAAGCATTGGCATCGGACAAGAGATTCAATTAACTCGAGAAAAAAGGCTAAAAAATAATAACACGGAAATTACCATAATTAAGATATAAAATGGCTTGATCATGAAGCGATTGGTAGCATGTGGATATTGCGCTGCGTACAAGGCAGGTGTTTGCTCCATCTTAGCACCTAGTACAAAACAATTTTCTCGTCCATTGGGCCTCTGGCGCAACGGTAGCGCGTTGTAAGTACACACTTAAATCAAGTAGTATCTTGAACTTCTTCTAACAAATTCACAGCGACTCCAGATCGAAAGGTTATCCGTTCAAATCGGGTGGGGCTCATTTTTTTTTCTTTTTGTCTCTACCGTACCCTAGTAAACGCCCGACTGTTCTTCGCCCATTCATCTCTAATCGACATTGCTTGGTCTAGACCTTACCAAAGCTCTAATATTTTTCTCTTCTTCATTGATTTTCCTCCAGTCTTCTCTAGACAGCCTCCATATCGTATTATAGGCTTTCTCACTTGGTCCCCTACTCAACGTCTGACTGTTGATCAGACCATGTCCATTTTTGCTTTGTGACAGATGACATGAAATTAATGCCAGACTTGTAATAAAGGCTATCCTACTTTGTACTACCGAACAGGCCCTTGGGCATGGCTCCTTGTGCCGTTGGCATTATTGGCGGTTTGACAAGAAAATAGCACAGTGTTTGGAGCGTCATCCTGCTCTAGCCGGGACAAGGAGACGTCGAACCTGACATTAAATGAACAAAAATCTGAATCTGTGCTTCCAGAATACAGACGGGCGCGAACAGAGGCTCTGGTGTTATCGGTCCAAACGTATCTTCAAACTCGCAATGGATATTCTTCTTAGTATAGCTCCCGCAGCGTGGAGGTCTGATCGCACTGTGATTGTAAATCTCAGTAGACGCATAGTCTATCAGACCAACGGAATTGGAGCGTAAAGACATATTTTCACATCATAACTGCTTTTAGAGGGAGAGGGGGAGAGTTATGGAAAGAAGTCAGGTTACTGAATCTTTAATGGTGTTCGTTCTTCTAGCCAGCAAATGCCACGCACCAACTCACTAACTCCAAACAGGTTGTCAGCTTGTCTACCTAGTGGAGATGCCACGTCTACCAGGCCCCGTTAGATTGCATGGACTTCTAGCTATCCGTCGATCATCTGTACCAGGCGTCATATCCATTTCTTACTATATTTCGGGCGTTGCTACTACACCGGCTCAGTACTCCGTAGCCCTAACTGGTCTCATTCAATACGAGACCACCAATCGAAACAGCTTACCGGCCTTGCAACTTTCTCAGTGACATCACTATAGATTGACGTAAGTCAAACCTCTCAAGTATCTGGTATTTAGCCAGCGACTATTAAAATGCTACTGGTGGGGATGGTGGGTGACAACGGGGGAATTCTCTGTACTTCCTGAAGTACTGTACCATTGCTCTCCCTCTTCTATCCAAAGATGAAAACATTCGCCACCGATTAGGGCCTCTGGCGCAACGGTAGCGCGTTGTAAGTACACACTTGAAAACCAAGCAATGCCTTGAATTTCTTCTAACAAATATCACAGCGACTCCAGATCGAAAGGTTATCCGTTCAAATCGGGTGGGGCTCAAATCTTTTTTGCCTTTTTTGCGCTGGTGGACTGCTTGAATTCCGGTTGAGATCTTGAAGGAACCATAGCGCTAGGCCTATTTAGACATAAACATCTTTGGTCCTCTTCAAAAGAGAATCTCGATAGCCTATTTCACAAGGGAAGGATATGTAGTAGAGAAAGGGCAACGTCCATCCTTCCCTGAACTCGAAAAGAATACCATGCAATCCTTTTTTCTTATTTTCTTTTTCTCAATGCTTTTTCAAGTCTCTTACGATGTGCCCTTGTTCTGGATGATTTCTCGTGGCCGACTTCTCTCTTTTGTATACCATTAATTTCTACAACCTCTCTTAGGCAAAAAAGTGTCACACTCGTACCAAGTTGGGCCTCTGGCGCAACGGTAGCGCGTTGTAAGTTACACTGTCTTCGCAATGCAGACATTTCATATTCTAACAATTTCACAGCGACTCCAGATCGAAAGGTTATCCGTTCAAATCGGGTGGGGCTCACATCTTTTTGATTTCTATATCTTTTGCACACTCTCTTTTTGCCATATCTGCTTCTCGATATGCCTCATGCATCCCCTCTTTCCCAACAAATAGAAAGAAACCCAACGCATAACATACTCTGATCACTCTTCATTACTCACCCTAAGATCAGTACAGTACTTTGGTCGTGGTTGCTATGTGCTCCTCAATCACTAAGCAGCACTACAAAGCAGCGAACACCATAGCCCTAGTCATAAGGGTCCTTGCTACGACAATACTGTGTTTTACGTTCAGTCCGCAATTCCGGCCTCTGAGAACTACCCTTGATCTCTGGACTTATACCATGGCCCTCCCATTCACGTTCTTCCACAAATGTCTGATCTCCAGCTCAGTCCCAGCAATTTTCACATCCCTCCCCTCTTGTCTCATTCTCTCACTGTCTCTCTCTTGAACTTTCCTCTTCCTGAGTATGTGACAGAGGAGCTCTATATTTTTTATCATTTGCGGAGTCTTCCGTGTGAAGGACAGATCTTGAGCCCAAGCTTGGACTACTGCAATTCCTGGGTGGTTATGGTATTTGCGCCGTGCTAAAAAGCTAGACTTGGGTAAGCAATAGACAACTGAATCCTTGTTTCACAGTATCAGAACCTACTCCTGAAGATGTGTCCAGATATTATCTTTTCGCGACGGCCATTTCTCAGGAATGCCTATGAAAACAATGCCCCCGAGGGGCCAGCTCTCCTGGAGGCAAAGCCATAGTAGCCACGTTTCATCAGCTGGCTGGGGCGGTTTTCTATACGGCTGAAGCTTTTCTGAGCTCCAGTTGAGCCTTACTAGCTGGAGTCCCTTGCCGGCAAAAAAGCCTTTTGGGATATGACTTCCACCCTCATCTTCGACTTGGTTTTGTAGTGAATCAGATGCCGCAGCTGTAGCTTTCCAATCTAGATCAGTCTCTGCCTCCCATAGGCGAACCAGTTGTCTCCCAAGCTCTGCTGTTTCTTGGCAGTTAGGTAGATGTCTAGCTGGGAAAGTGACAACATCATCGGAGTTCAATGCGCCCCGATGAACCAAACAGGACTTGCCGGTTTCATCGCGCAGATCGATACCGTCTTTCGTGCTAGCCTTCAGGTCAATAGGGACTGTGAATGACAATCGAGCCATGGAAACCACATACAAGAAAATGTATTTTCTAGGAGTATAGGATGAATCCTGGCTAGACTGAGGGGCGCGCATAATGAACCTGAAATTTTGCCCAGATGGGCATTCCCAGTAGATCCCGAAGGATGAATTTTTCCAGACAAAAACCTCTCTTCCATTCCACCGACTCCGATAAGTTGATCTGAAGCGAATAAAGCTGCCATTAGGGAGCTTGCTAGATATCCTAGTTGAATGGATCCATTCCCAAAATCTAGTATCTTTCATGAGTTGCGTGGTAACCGCTCGCTCAATGCTGTCAGACGACACCCAGTAATTTGACTTTAGTTTGTTCGCAGCGAGAACTTCGGAAAACTCTTTCAAGAGAGCACTAGGTTTCTCGGTCTTATGAAATTTGTCGCTATTATCCGCAGAATGGTCGAGTTTCATTGCTGTAGGGGTGCTTCGATGTTGGACTGCGTCAGATTGACTATTCCATACCGCCTGTGTAAGAGCATCCACATATAGCGACTTGCCTTCGGAGATAGAATTTGCCCATAGAAACCATTCATTGGCGTTTTCGCGACCAATGTGTACATGCAGTTCAGGTATATTTATTTTCCATAGCCTATAGACCTGCTGCCTTCGTTTGTCTGACAGCCTCTCGCCAACAGCAAACCCACTTACAATGTCCCTGTCCTATGGGCCCGTACCATGCTCCATCAGTTGATGTGCCACATGGCCAGCATCTAACAGGAGGGATGGGTAAGCAACTCACTAATTCCTTTCGTATTGCTACAGCAATCCTGGGTCTTGTGTGTGTAGACAGCTGCGTCGGGCTAGCGTTCGGTCGTTCAGCGTGAAGTTTAGCCTTCAACCGACTAAATTGCTCATAGAATCTCTTGTCTTGAAGTGTGTCGTCAACTTTCTGCTTGACATGCTCGCACCATTCCTTCCGACTTCTTCCTTCGTATTGCTCCACAGAATCAAGAAAGACCGTCATAGTTGTTAATAAGACCCACAAAGTCATGTCTAATACAATGAGGAAAACGCTTGGGTCTAGCGAAAATCGACCTTGTCCTGGATGAAAGCACGGGATCTGAATGCCATAAAATTCCCCGCAAGAGACCAATTCCAATTGCCCCACTCTGTCCCAGAATTTAGATGGCCAGCGGTGAATAGAAATAAGTGAGAAGCCGGAAGCTATGATAGCAGATGGTTTGGCAGAAAACGTCAGCATGATGAGGGGTTTAACTGTCATAACATACTGTTTTAACAAGCGAGCTGCTGCTAAGAGATCTTCACCTTCTGCTTTATACCAAGGGCACAGGTCGACAAAAGGGAACACACCAGCTGCTACCAAGTCACGAAGGTAATCTCTTTCAGGTCTATTAGACTCCTCTCGGTTCCAGAGTCTGTTGAGGGATATCCTCAATAAATTTGCCGATTGACTGGGACCAGTGTAGAAGGGCTGCTGCTCCTTATAGCCCTCACGGCTATTCCCAGCCCCCACAGTCAGAAGGAGAACAAATCTTCCGTTCCAGGCTGAAGGCATGGCCTGACGGAATATCATATCCCTCAAAACGTCAGGAAAACTGTGGGAGCGTTGCCTAAAGAAGGAAACTGAACCTTGATGATCCTTCGCATAGCACTGGATATCATCTGCCCAGGAGGCAATCAACGGTTCCTTCGCAATGGGATAGAACTCACAAGGGTTCAGTCTAGAGATAGTCCTGGTATTCAGGGCGTCAAATTGTTGCCAATGAGATTCTTGTAGCTTTAGGCTCCAGTCTTCTGTCTTGGTTAAGACTTGGTTCAACAGATAGGGCAAGCCAAGTAATACAATAGCTGCCTGTTCGGCGATATCATTGAACTGCTGAATCTCTCGGAAGCCTCCACTTTTCTTATATGGAAATACATAAATAGAAGCGGAGTCTATCACTGTTGGGAAAGTTCTCTCTAAGCATGTGAGAAATTTCGAAAAAAAGCCAGTCCGTCGTGTCAATAAATCCTCTCGGTGTCGTTTAATCGCACCTTGTGTCCGTGTTGTTCTTCCAACATATCTAATATAGACAGTCTCATCAGACTGCATACCCATGATGCCACCTAACCACATTGTTATCTTTGCATACTGTATTCCGGTCCCATGAAATTGTGCAATGACCTCCTGCAGCTGGTCAACCTTAATCTGAAAACAACGAACATATATTGTTGTTTGCTGTAGATTCTGGTCATCTAGCTCCCGTGGAGCCTTCAAACGGAGCATATCCTGTAACTTGCAGTCCGAAAGCTTAAGAGGCGTGTACAAGAGGGTCTCCCAGGAGCTATTATCAAGGCTAGTCGGAAGACAATGATTAACCAGCTCTGGAGTGATACTGTCTGTGTTTACTCCTCCCTCTGCGAGACGGTCTAATAACACGTTCAGCACAGTCTTCTGGAGGGTATGGACATGTTTGATATCTGTGAGTTTTGCAGAGGTATCTGAATGTCTTCTTTTGCGTGCCGTGTGAACGCGCGTGCCATCGCTCGATAGATGCTGCTGGTGCTCCATTGCGGGAGAGGGACCTAGGTCATAGACAGGCGAGGTAAATGCAGTTTACGAACTGGAATAACCTCCACAATAGAGAAAACAAAAAGGAGCTGAGGAGATAATTTTGTTAAAAGTTTCATTGATATGAACTTTTGCTTGACTTTTGTTGGTTGGACCAATTGGGCTGGTTCGGTTCATGCTGGACTTAATTCACTTTGTGTTGCTGTAGGTAACAGAGCACAGTGTTTACATATTGTGTTTTAGAACCCCTAATAATCGTGCATAAAATCAATTCCTCTTTGCCAAATCCTGTAAGAGGCATTCGTGTACGCCTTGTGTCCGGTGACAAGTGAATTCTACTCAAGACTTCTCGACATCTAGCTATTGCAGGATCCCAAAGTTGTATCTTTCATCTGCTGAAATTATGGGAGCTCTATCGATATAACCATGCGATCTAATCAAGGCATACGCTGCAGTTTGAGGTAGATCTATGCGACTTCAAGGATGATATAACCATCACTATGACGAGATACCCGACAACTTGCTGACGAGGAGTGGTAAGAAATTCATATAATCTCTTGTAAATGTCATTCATGATGTCTCAAGCAACTGAGGTTTCACATCGAGCAAGACCTACTAAAAACCATGGGAGTGCTGGCCGCTGCCACCCCCAAACAAGCATTTACAGAAGACATTAAGTGGCTTTGTCTGATAAGAGGAAGTGACATTGGAGCTATTGCTGGTCTATCCATAACTGAAACACCACTAATCAACTCTTCTTAATGATGTGAAGATACTCACCCAGCATCAAAATGGTAACCAAAGCCAGCCCCATGAGACCACGTCGTTCAAGGTATCTCCGACAATGCAATGGCCATCTACTCCCGAACCTCAACCGTATGAGGCCGTATGACCTCCTTCACTTCGCAAGCCGGAAGAACATCCAACTGCTGCCGGATATGAATATTCAGCCAATACTCCTTCAGAACCGAGGAATGAATCTGACTGGCGCCCGCAATCCGCCCCAAGCACTTCCCCAGGCCAGCTCCACACCCGCACTGAAACGGCTGCACCATTGTCCACTCTGTACTCGGATAAAAGAAGGTCAGTTCGTCCCCGACAGCCAAAGGACGGTCATCCGCAACACGGACTTCGAATCTCGTCATGTCGAATACCAGACTCGGGGCGCAGGAGTGGTTGCAGTAGACGAGGTCTGAATTCAACTCGATCCGGGAGTCTATGCCCGTTGCGACGGAGGAGTATGTATCGTGATCGCCAGGGGTGGCGGTGGTGATTTTGGCGAAGAAGGCACCTGCTGGTAGGGAGATGAGAGATCGCGCTGAGGATGTGTAGGGTTGGTCGCCTTTGACCACTAGAAGACGGTCTGGGTGGCTGGGTTGCTGCCAGCTTGGGATCAATTCGGTCATGGTGGTTTTTATATTGGATATATAGATGGATGTATAGGGAGGTGTTGATGGAGAGAGCTTTTTTGTGTATGTAGGTAGGGAGACTGGCTCATCTTATCCCGCTTTTTCTGCTCTACTGTTGCAATCTCACCTATCATGACCTTTTAATCATTTTTCCGTGGCCTACTTCTATTTTGGTGGATATGACGTGAATCTAGGGATGCAGTGCGAATCGCTAGCGCCGAATATTCTGCGGTCCATCCTTTTGAAGCAGATACGTAGTCTGTACACAGAAAGAGTAAGAATGAAACAGCAGCCGTAGGCTAGTACGGAATGAGTTGATGCTTAGGACATGGAGTCTCGGCCTAGAATGACATAGAACACTGCAAGTGCCACAGGCGAAGCAATGTGTGGATAACATACCGTCCTTCATTCAGGCGTTTTTTAAAAACTGCAAGGAGGTCTGTGTAGAGAAGAGAGTATTGGGAATGCTGGAACGTGCGAGGGACAGCCGACATGGTATGCATACCATGCGCGATTTGTGTACGTGGTATACAACATGGGGTACATGGAAGCACAAGGCAAATCTCTTTGCCTAGATATTCTGAATTGTTGTTGAACTTTTCTATGGTTGTATGTTTCCTGTTGCGGGCAGTTACAAACTTGAGGATATGTATATTAATTCCCCCCTTGCACAAAACATCTAAGAGCTTCGAGTCTTTATTATCTGTTTTCTTTGGAATATTCTCTGCTGGAAAGGTGTCATGGTGCCTGACTTTCATATCTTCACAAAATGATCATACGTAGAAGAGGTTATGTATAGTACCGCTGAACAGTGGTGTCGGAGGGTTTACTTTGGTCTCAACGCTAGCCTCTGATAAAAGTGGTCCATATTCTGTTTATTTTATTTATTTTCTAAAGCCCACTAAGGAATTCATAGATTTTGTTGTGATATGCTTCCAATTGTTGTACCCACATGACATGCTCTATAGCCTAAGCGAAAGCGAAGTCGGTATACAGTATATCAGTATCCCAGCCTTGTATACTCCGGGGTAGGCCTTAGGGTCCTCGGCCCTACTTGTCAGGTCCGTTCTCACACACAACGGTCGGTGGGGATCCTACCCCATCCATATTTGATCCATCTCGTAGTAAAGTGTTTGCGACACCGGCCATACTTCAAGGGGGTTTTATGCAATATTTAGGAACGTGAATTTCAAAACACCAGTAATTGGGCCGTGCTCGAGTAGCCCCTCGTCCTGTGGCTCTCGAAAGACTACCTAATTTTAAGAGATTCGGAGTTCGGGGGTTACAAAATGACGGGTTAAATAAGAAGTGTCCGTGCGGTTTTATACGAAGCAGCAATTTAGAATCAAAAGCTTAGCAGCGACGTCGAAGATTTCCCACGGAATCTGTTACCTATCGCGAGCAGCTAATCAACTTCGGTAATTAATATTTTTTTCTCAGAAGTTGCGCTGTGCATTGCGCATGCTATGCGAGAGATTGCATGCAATTAGTTGCAATAAGTCTAAATCCAGAGCTTCAGGAGGCTTGATTACAAACACTCGGCAACTTGGAATGCTTCTATTGCCCGAGACTGAGCTAAGTATGGGACTATTACTCCATGAGTTTGCATGAGAAGCGATGCCAGTGTATGCTTTCAGGCTAAAGAGGAGAAACTAAGCATGGCCAACGCAGCAGCATTCCCCGAAGATTGTCCGGCCTTGGATGGATATCCATGTAGAACTCCGCCTGAGAATGGATCAGTCGGCATTGATCAGATTCTATGACCCCGAGTCAGGCCATCGGCCCTCCCCCTGCAATTCAGCCTGAATGCATTGGGTGGTTCAGCGTACATCGGAATATCCCCGCGTCGGAGGCGCTGATCGGCTGCGGGACTTGCTTGATTCGGGACTTGATCTGTGGGGATATTGGAGATGCTGCAGCATTGCCGACATTTTACCCAGAGAGAATGACGTACACAGCGTAAGGAAGACAGCTACATCTCCCTGCCATGAACAATGCAATTGCCAATGCCTATAAATCCAAGCCCACGGCCGGGCGACACGACAGAAGGACCGCTCCAGCACTGCACCGCTGACAATTGCCATTATGCCTGGTGCTGCGTCCATCGTCGCCGTCCTGGCGGCCGTGCTGCCGACCGCTCTTGGTCAAGCAAACCAAAGCTACGTCGACTACAACGTCGAAGCGAACCCAGACCTCTTCCCGGAATGTCTGGAGACAGGCGGTACATCCTTTCCAGACTGCGAAAGCGGGCCCCTGAGCAAGACATTGGTCTGCGACACATCCGCAAACCCCCATGATCGAGCCGCCGCCCTCGTCTCCCTTCTGACCTTCGAGGAGCTCGTGAATAACACCGGCAACACCGGCCACGGCGCCCCCAGAATCGGACTGCCAGCGTACCAGGTGTGGAATGAAGCCCTGCACGGCGTCGCCCACGCCGATTTCAGCGATGCCGGCGACTTCAGCTGGTCCACGTCCTTCCCGCAGCCCATCTCGACCATGGCGGCCCTCAATCGCACCCTGATCCACGAGATTGCCACCATCATCTCCACGCAAGGCCGCGCCTTCATGAATGCCGGCCGCTACGGCCTGGACGTCTACTCCCCCAATATCAACACCTTCCGACACCCCGTCTGGGGCCGCGGCCAGGAAACCCCCGGCGAAGACGCCTACTGCCTCGCCTCCACCTACGCCTACGAGTACATCACCGGCATCCAAGGCGGCGTGGACGCCAACCCGCTCAAGCTCATCGCTACAGCCAAACACTACGCCGGCTACGACATCGAGAACTGGGGCAACCACTCCCGTCTCGGCAACGACATGCAAATCACCCAGCAAGACCTGGCCGAATACTACACGCCCCAGTTCCTCGTCGCCTCGCGCGACGCCAAAGTCCACAGCGTCATGTGCTCCTACAACGCCGTCAACGGCGTCCCCAGCTGCGCCAACTCCTTCTTCCTGCAGACCCTCCTGCGCGACACCTTCGACTTCGTCGACGACGGCTACGTCTCCGGCGACTGCGGCGCCGTCTACAACGTCTTCAACCCGCACAGCTACGCCGCCAACGAATCCACCGCCGCCGCCGACTCCATCCGCGCCGGCACCGACATCGACTGCGGCGTCTCCTACCCCCGCCACTTCACCGAGTCCTTCCACGACCAGGAAGTCTCGCGCCAGGACCTCGAGCGCGGCGTCACCCTTCTCTACGCCAGCCTCATCCGCGCCGGCTACTTCGACCCAAAACCAGCCCCTACCGCAACATCACCTGGGCCGACGTGCTGGCCACCAACGCCCGGAACCTCTCCTACGAGGCCGCCGCCCAAAGCATCGTGCTGCTGAAGAACGACGGCCTCCTGCCGCTCCCCAGCAACTCCAACAATCTCACCGTCGCCCTCATCGGGCCCTGGGCCAACGCCACCACCCAAATGCTGGGCAACTACTACGGGCCGACGCCCTACCTGACCAGCCCGCTGGCCGCCTTCCAGCAATCCGGCTACAACGTGCACTACACCCTCGGCACAAACACGACCACCGACCCCTCGCCCACCGCGCAGGCCGACGCCGTCGCCCTCGCCAAGCAAGCCGACCTGGTCA